GCGGGACATTTTATGGTTATTTCTCGAGATTTCAGGAATGCGATCCAATTTACGATAACGATCCACATCGTCGGACACACGTCGTACTTGTCCCCAGTTTCGAAGAGTGAAGACAACAGCATGGAGCGGATAGGTGAACTCGCCTCTGGATACCCTATCATGGATACTGATGAGAGTAAGCCGATACTTACGACTTCGAGACACGAATCCAAGAACCAAGGCAGTTATTACATAAAAACCAGATTATGATCATGGCCTCTAGTGGTAAAAGTTAAATGTAAAAATTAATTGTGTGATTATTTGTGTGTGAGAAAAATATTTTCCACGAATTTTCGGCAAATATCTTTTACGTAACGACAAAATGCAGATCAATCTTAATTATTGTAATAATTCCTTCAGTTTCTGAAAATATAAAACATATTAATTTTATACAATAGCATTTATTATTTCCTATGTTTTAATTATCTTTCGATGAAAATAACCGGATGTTGACATTTTTATTATCGTGCGCGTGCACCGTAACTTCGATAAAATTAAGCGTGACCTTTATAAAAATGGTTTATCATAATTACAGATAAGGGTGAAATGCCTAGAAATCAAGAATCGATTAAAAAATACTTAGAGAAAGTTAATATTAATTAGTCTCAGATATGTAGATAAGAAGAAATTCTATAGTAGTATATGTTCTAATTGTGTTCTTAACAAACAATTTTTTCTGAAAGATATTTTAAAAAGATGTAGGAAAGAATGTTTTGTGTGTGTGTGTGTGTGCTAAAATATCTAAAAATTTAGCATGGAGATACAAATCGGAAAATAATTTTGTTGGACCGAAATAATTATACATAAAACCGACGCAAAAGAGTTTCAAATTCGCGCGATCAAATCGCCACGGCGAAAGAAAGAGATGGGGAGGTCTTAATTAATTTCATTAAGCCATCTCTTTCACGTCTTCGCGCCTGGAAACGGCGATCGCCAGATCAATATCCCGGCCGGGAATTTGATTCCTTCAACCTTGCCTCCTTCTCCTCCAGAGTATAGGCACGGTGGCACCTGTAAATCTCTGCTGCCTACCTCCTTATAGCCCGCGGACTTTGACAAAACGCACTGAACGTATTTGCATACCGCGCCTTTATCTCGTCCGGGACGCGTTCGCGCGCATAAATCCATATTCCCGTTGCAGTAAATCTGCGGCGTCCGTCGCGGACGCGATTTCATAAATCACGAGGACCGAAGGCAAAACCCGCCTTCTAATTGAAAGAGGAGTAAGCCGACGCGGTTCAAGATAACTTCTGAAGAGAGAAATCCTGGGTTGTGTGATTTCCTTTATTCCAACGCTTTGGGCGATCAGAATTCGATATCTGCGATTTAAAAATATCGTAAAGTTGTTTCGAACTGTTACATTATTATATTACAAAATTTATTTATTTTTAGAACTGAAATATCTTTCCTTCAAATTTAATTAAGAAGAAACAATGAGTATTGAATAAATTATTGATGAACTAAATACTTGTATTAAATATTTATATTACATTGTAATTTTTTATTAGATCCATAATTATTTTTTTTTAATAGCAAAACTTTTCATTGATCACATTCAGTAGATAAAAACCATTCACATATCCCAAACTTTCATGAAATAATTTTGCACGAAAAGGATACCTTTTTGTTGCAAAGTGCTTTATTTGATATACTAGTAGGGGAATGAAAATTTTGTATTTCATCAGAAACAAGATATCTTATCGCCAAGTGTGTTTTCAGATATTTCTGCTTCAAATAAAATTATTCCAAACAAGATAAGCTTGTGCACAGATACTTGTTTTACCTACTGCTTGCATAAATTTTTGACGATCGAGAAGATTATTCGCGTTTTCTGAAAAGACAAATATTAATGACTTTGGTAATTTTACCCCAAGGATAGAGGTAAAATCAACAAACAAGATCACATTTTACAACATGTAACCGTAATTTTACCGCCGATCTTTTGCGCTGTGAATTAATGTGCGTACGTACAACGTGACGGTGATTTCATCATATTTCACGCCGTTATTTTTCGCGCTTCCGAGGCTATCTATTTTAAACACTTAGCAAAGGAAGTGGCAGTCGGGATCCAAATAGCACGGAACATTCCAACAATATTGCTGGAATATTGTTCTATCTAGGAAAATATTGTACGCATTATGATTTACATCGTCTCTCGTAAAATCTTTCTCAGAATTTTTATATAAATTGAAACACTTTTTAGAAATATTGAGAAAGTCTACATCTTTTATTAGAACTTTTTATGTATATAAATTCTAAAATATTCTAAGCTTCTTATTCTATAATTTTTGCAAAAATACTTTATAAACTTTTTCAAATTTCATAAGATTTCAAAAATTATAGAATAAGAAATCTTAGAATATTTCAGAGTTCACATATATGAAGAATTCTATAAAAGATGTAGATTCTATCTTCTAAAATACTAAAATTTATATAAAAATTTTGAAAAATTATATAAAAAATTCACAGACAAATTTTCAGCAAAGATGCTTTTATCAAATCTGAAAAATGCTGAAATAATATGCCATCATACGCTAAATTCCTATGAAATTCAATAAAATACGTAACAATTGAATTTTCTCACAACGTTTACTGACAAAAGTTCTTAATACAATCGAGTCTACATACAGTGTTGGTCGCAACTATTTTATTCGCTGCAATGCGCGAAATGCAATATCTCATCGAGAGCGATGTCTCAAATAATAACGACAAACGGAGACGAGTCGTATCAAAATGGAAACGACATCGCAGGAGAAAATAGCAAGATAAAAAATACTTAATATAATAATCAACTGACAGCGGGGACTTTAATCGGTTTTTTTTTAAGCGACAGCGATATATTATGTTCTGTCGCAATTTTGAGCGAATTCTTAACACTCATAAAAGTGAGGAATGAAAAAAGGAAATAGCGTGCGATGTAATCGATACTGATCGTCGCCCTAAAACACGTCGCGAAAGACTAGAATGATTAAGTATAAACGCGTCGGGCGCGATTGGAAACACGGGATGCACATATCTAACGACGATTAATAACGAAAATTACTGTTACAGTATTACGGCGAGTAATGCGGTTCGGAGAGTGGGGCATCTCTTTTTGATTTCCGGCAAATATAATATTTATCGTAAATATAATATTTATATGTATGTATATGTATATATTACGCAAGTGACACAATATGTACAAAGTCGCGACGCAGACCTGAGTCTCGTTGTGTTCAAGTTTAACGTGGAGAACTAAAGTCTTTCTGTAAATTGCCTTCCCAGAAATGATTAGTCGATCGATGTTGATCGATCAATCATCTCTGGCTAGGTTCCTTTTGCTCGAAGTAATAAATGAATATCAAAAAATTAAGACAGAATTCTCTACTAAAAATAGTGTCCGTTATGTTTTGATGAATTAATCAAAATACTTTTCTCTAATAAAAAAATAATTTATGTACAATACCGCTTAAAAGATTTAATAAATGCTGTTTTTTTAATGTAAATATTTGTAAAATATTTATTTATTGGATCCTTTTTACATTTAAAGAAAAAAATATTGACATACTATATTCTTAATTTGGTTTTTACACAGAGGAACAAAGAAAAAAATAAGAAAATTCAAAACACAGATACTAGTAAGCAAATATTTAGTCCAAGGGGTTTATTACGATTCTTGAAACGAGGTGAAAATTACAAAAGTGAGCAAATAGAAAATAATAAATTTGAGTTAATAAATGTTTAATGTAAAACGTGAGAACAATTTTTCTATTTTTTATTCTACAAATTTTGCCATTTATTGAAACTTTTGAGCAGTGTTGTAAAATACAGCATGCCTTCAAATCATCAATTGCGCACAATCATTACTCAATGCATACACATTCTCGTTTATAAATAAAATTAATAAGACAAAATGTCGAAAGATTTACGAGCGACATGTCGTGTATAACTAATTGTAAAAATGCTACTTACCCAATAACACTCTATTCTAGGTGGAATACTTGCATTTTTGCGGACTTTATAAACTTTCATTGCGCTTCAGTACCACGTTTATGTAATTTTTTTTGCCATTTATCACAGTATCGCGTGTTACAGCGTTCCTGTGTTCTACGTTCTGCGTACTTTAGCAAGATAAAAATCGCATAATTAATTATACATGTACTTCAAATACATCGTAGAAGCATCAAATGATGGCAAAAAGTTCATTCGTAATTATTACAAATGAGCGTAACGTTGCTGCCAAGTACATGTCGTATTCACGTAATAATAAATTAACATTCGCATCTTGCCATTACACTCTGCTATTGCACAACGATAATGAGACCCATGCAAATACATATATTGGACGAATTCGAATTTACGGACGGATAGCGATTTTTACGTGCGAGTCGGGGAATTTCGTACATCGAAAGAACAATTTTGCTAAAACATTAAAAAATTTAGCTAAATACAAATCTGAAAATAATGTTTTTAAACTATCAAAATAATTGTAGGAAGCTCAAGCTGATTGTTAGAATGTCAAAACTCTTTGCAACATTGCTCATGCTTGAGTTTCTTACAATTATTTTAAAGATCTCTCCAACTATTTGCAGACCTATATATATCTAGTATTTTAATTTTTAAATTTCTCAGCAAAATCGTTATTTCCATGCACAACTTGACAATTCTCCGTTGTCCTAAGTAGCACAATTGGCGATTCCACTTTCCAGCGTATTTTGCTCGAAAGACAGAATATGTTTCATACAAAATTCCTACGAATGTTAGAGGTCAAAATCAAAAAGGTCCTAGAACCTCGTAATATTTGATCTCTCTAGGGTAATCTCAATTATATTTTCTTCCCGCGAGGGAAAGTCGCTTTCAAAGATCGAGATACGTCAGAAAATCTCCCTGCTCACGTAGCACTAACGCGTGCCAAAAGTAAGCCTCTCCGCAGGATCAATTTCCCGGTGCTATGAGCCTGAGGTTTCCTCCGGCGACTTCTCTCAGTCGGTACACTCGGAAGCGAAGCTCTCGAGATCCACATAGTGCCCGTTCATGTTGTCCTCCAGCAGTTGGGCGAGATCCCTGCGTAGGATCTGGAACTCCGGCCTGCGGTCGGGATCGGCGTGCCAGCATCGGGATATCACCCTGAAGAGCTCGCTTCGGCAGTGCGAAGGCCTCTCCAGCCGATAACCGTTGTGCACGTTCCGCATGACTTCCCGCGCCGTCATATCCGGGTACGGTGTTGAACCTGAATAGAGAGCAGAAGATGATGCGATTATTATGACGGGATGTCAACATGATAGATCGTGGTAAGAAGTTATCGTCCATTGATTAGCGTACAATAGTTTAACAAGGAACAAATGGATATTTTCTCTTCCTCTTCGAGTAGATAGGATATTCAAGATTATCGTTGTACGTGTGTATGTGCATCGGATCTTTTTTATTGTTATTAATTTTTTGTTTTCATTAAAAATGTTAAACAAGGATGAAATAATGCGAGCGTTGCAAACGTTAAGTGGAACGCACTCTAATTGATATAAGATAATAAAAGTGGAAGATTTAGAAAATTGTTTCAAAATTTGAATGACATATGTATTTATATAATGACATATTTTTATTTCTTTCTTTTCAAGTTAACGATTTAATAATGTATTTTATAGACAAAATATTCTTCTCTTTTTTTTAATTGTTGATCAAATAAAATTAATCGGATAAGTTAAATAAAATAATTAAAATATATAACATGCGAGCTATGTTACTTATGACACCGTTTAACAATATCTCCACACTATTAGCGTCAATGTGTCTGTATACCCGTACCCTTATTTTCATATTAAATAATAATAAGAGCGAACCATCAAATGGATTTTTAGATATTCTATTTTCATCTTAAAGGGCTTTCAATAAAAAAATAATGTTTATTCTAACAACAAGCTATCAAAACTAAGCAAGTCATTCAGTTCTCGAAACGAACGATGAAGATACTCACCTAAAGTGACGATCTCCCACATCAGAATCCCAAAGCTCCAGACGTCGGTCTTCGTCGTGAACAGGGAGTAGATCAACGATTCGGGGGCCATCCATCGGATGGGTAAGGCGTTTCTACCGTGTCTGGTCTCGATCACCTCACCATCCTCATTGGCGAACCTCGACATGCCGAAGTCAGCGATTTTGCACAGCTTGTTGTGATCCACGAGAACGTTTCTGGCGGCGAGGTCACGGTGGATGATCTGCACAGAAAAGGTCACCGGAGGATCAAGTCACCGATAAACGACCGGCGCTCGTGAGGTGCATGTTCCATTACGTGTGCGATTGCTTACGGGCCGTCCATATGACGGGGAATTACACGCTATTACGAGTTCGGTACAGCCAGTTGTCTCGAGAAAAACGCAGCCTTGAGTCTGAGCTCGCGCGCGACAAAACGGGATTCGCAGTAGAGGTAAGGACCAGGGCGAAGTCTGTGCGAAGACAAATATTGTTTCAGCGACGCAAGAGCCTCGAGAGAGTAGATTCAATAAATCTAGCAATGTCAATCCGTCAATATATGCTCAACTATAAATGGAAAGCAAGGATATCTCAGAAGAATAAATAAACGGGAATTTTAATCGACAAATTTTGATTTTCCATATGTAATGACAGGTGGGAAAAACATCTGCGCGATTGCCTACACAGATGAAAAATTTAACAAATTTTACATATTTTAAACGGTCCACTCAAATTTTTGTGATATATAATTTTTGTAAAATATAATTAATAGTCATAGCGAAGCTGCACGAAATCGTGGCGCAACGCGAGTATCTCAATATTTGTGATCGAGTTATACATACCTCCACATTTTTTTATTATTCGAATTTTTACATTTGATAGTATAAAGTAATATAATTTGATGTTGAATACAATTTGAAACCAATTACTGATCAACATTATTTTGAATAACTGCACATCAACGAGAATGTTACACCCAGTATTCTTACATCATGCCACCAAATACAGACAATTCGAATAATAAAAAAAATGTTAAGGTATGTGTAACTCTCGATCGTGAAAATCGCGACATTCGCGTTGCGTCACGATTTCGTGTAGCCCCTTCGTTACTATTAATTATAGTTTAATTAACCGTTCAATGTGGCATTCGGTCAAATGAAGTTTCGCTAAACTACTCCAAAAGCCGCAATGAGAAACCATCAGGATGATAATTATTATACGCAACGAGATGATGCAAATACGACGTTACGAAACGTCGCATCAGCCGCGCTTGCCGTTGAAAATTCTGCTTGAATGCAGCGGAGCATCTAGGATGCATCCACGCATATTCTCCCATGCAGCTGGTACGGCACGCGTACACTATCATTTAGCGACTATGTAATTGTCTATTAACTCGAGAGAATAATTTTTGTTACGCCGTTTCCTGGAAGTTATTATACGGACGGAAACTGGTAATTCGACATTTGACGAGGACGATCGAGCGCTCGCGGGAGGTTCCTTTGTTTCCTTAATTGCCTATTAATCGTCAGGTGCATCCTTCTTCAAAGTCGCCAAGCGCTCTTCCGTAGGCACATGAAAATTTTCTTCTTCCTCTCCGCGACGCGTAATACAAGTTCGCTTTATACAAGAATTTGAAATGGGAATGAAAAAATATTTACTCCGAGTTCTTTCATTCACGACATTCCCGTTTTAATCGATGATATGCAGATCGAACGGAATAAATTAGTATGTCGGTTGCAAACTTTCGTCCCAACTGTTTGGACAAAACATTTGTTTTTCGGATACCGGTTCGTATCGCAATATTTGTATCATACGGCAAATATTCCTACATTATGTTAAATTTTATTTATCGTGGTTGCGTATTACAATCCTAAATATGTTATCGGAAGACAATTAATAACAAGATTATTTAAGATTTCGTAATAAAATCATCTATGTACATTGAGAGAAAAAAATGGTTGCAATTATAGTTTAACTAAATTTATAGTCAGTTTCGGTATCAACTATATATTTTTTTTAGTAGAATTATAAATATTACTACAAATATTATTATAAATATTACTATCACTAATAGTATAGTAGTAATAATAATCATAAAAAAAACTTCTAATCATAATTATTTTATTACGCAATATAATCACAAATATCAAACACTTTTCTCTCATATCTGCGTATAAACAAAAATACATACATTAAATAGATTATTTTTTGTTAATAGCAACTATATAAAAGTTTAAAAATCAAAACTGAAGTAAATACTCACTTATAAAAATTAGAAATAAAATTATTTTTTTATGGAGACAAGTTCTCTGTAATTTTAGAGTTGTAAATATCTCCTTGATGACGCACGAAAATAACATAAAACTCTACATTTTACTACAAAACGCAATATCTCAGTCACGAAACTAATCAAATCGCATAGATTGTAAAAATGCTGTTGATAACCATTTATTGCTCTCGAATCGAATAAAGAAGTACTGGACGAGTATCCTCGAATTCGTTTTTTATGAGATATAAAATTCAATCTTTGCCTAGTGACATAGATCTCCACATAGAAACGATCCTTCAACAAACGCAATGATGGAAGTTTTACGATCGTGTGAAAATGTTTGAGTTTAAACATCATTAGCGGATTATTTGTCATGCGGTCGATGCTCCCTGCGACCTTCCACAAGCAACTCAGATGTCCTCGAAAAACTCTCACTTTTCATGCTTTTTTTCGTAAAATACATAAAAAAGTTTACGCAAAATCTTTTTTTAGGTCTATCCTTATAACTAGACAGAAATAAGATTTAATTTTTCAAATCAAAATGACCGAATCTTTATAGAAATTGTTGAATATTATTGAGATATTTTATATGAGGTCTTTTTTCAGATTCATCCTTATAAACAGACAAAAATGAGATTTTTAATTTCTCAAATAAAAATGATCGAATATAAAATAATGCTGGATGTTATTGTGATATTACTTTGAAATGCTCCATGCAAAAATATTTTTTATGAAGAAAAAAAAATATAAATCACGAAGCAAAAAATCAGCTACGAATATACAACTGTGCATTATTATGTGAATTAATTCTTACATACGCATCATCATATACAACTGCAATTTTATCTATATTTTAAATTACGCAAGATAAAAATCATTTACCACATTTCTTAAGTAATAGGATATTAATAATTGGCCGTAAAATTGTTAATACTTGCAGCCATGTCGCAAGTAATAAACGTTGATTGATTCAAGAAGCTGCACGTTGTCACAAGAAATCTCGCATTCTAATTACTGATTGCAATTTATTAAAATATTTTATAATGTTTTACTTGATTAACCATCAAATGCATTACTCTCTAATGTATCTCTCTAAAATATTTCTTTTGAACGTATAAAAATCTATCCATACCTAAACTTATATCCTTCGACGAATATTCGAGGTGATGTCCCGAACGAATCGTTCAGACGATACTTACGGCACAGGAGGGCCGTTAAATCGTGGGGAGATTAACGAGAGAGCCTCTATCTAAACATTTTAAATAACTGCGACGTATCGATCGTCCAAGTGTCCCGCTGAAATTTATCGCGATTGCTTTCCTCGCTTGTTTAGTTCTACCATCCTATCTTGTCAGTAGTATGTAACGCAAAAAAAGAAGAAAAGTATTGGGAGGGACGTGAACCGTCAAGTGATTGTCAAGCGGCCAGGCGAAACTATTTTTTCTTTTACAATAATGATCTACGTCGAGAAGCTTGGAGGACCTTCGGTTCATAAATAAGTCGTGCGCAATATAAAGAAAAATTAATTAGTTACTGTTACATCGTAAACTATTTCGCATCATTGATGTAACGTCATTGGGGAGACATATCGGCATTATATAATGCGAGATTTTATTATTTTTGTTGCACTGGAGAGTATTTTTTCTTTTTGGCGAACGACAATTAGTCATATCGAAACCTTGCGGATTTTTAATTTATAAGTAAACAACTCGGTTCAGAAAAGTTAATACGATGTGGCCTAATAATTTTGCATTATTGCAATATAATGTCATCAAGGCTATTACCGATTTATCAATGCGATAATAATCGATGAAATGTGAAATTTTATGTTATTCTTATGACATCATCTCTAATAAAACGTTTTTCTGAAATATTATTTATAAATGCTCCAGAATTGCGAAATCGTTTTTTATTATTAAATAGACGAAACAAAGAGAATTATTTTAACAAATTTCAGAGAAATTAAATATTAATAGATAGGATTGCATGAATAATTTTCGGTTATGCATTAAAATTTCGTTCGTCTATTATACGTGTAAAGAATAAAAACGTTAAAAATATGTTTATTTTATTTTTTCCATTTATAAAAAATAAATGTGAAAAATGTGTCACAACAATATTTTAAAAAAATTTGAAATTATTTCTATAAAATTTATATAAAATTATAAAATGACAGAAAATGTTGTATAATAAGAAAAAAGGTAAAATATATATCGTCAAAAATATAACGTCGAGCGCGTTGATATTTAAAAATAAGATTTATCGCAACTCGTGTGTTTCTTCTCATATTTGTCGAATTTCTTTTTTGATGAGGTTCAATGTAATGTGCACGTGGAGAAAAACCGGAAAAGAAAGCGAAAGAAAATGCTGTCTATTCTTTGCAGACTCATTATATGAGATTATCTTGTCTTTTTCCCCCATAAATATATTTTCCATAAATGTATAAAAATATATAAAAATTAAAAGAATATCAGCGCCATTCTCACGAATATTGAAATCAATGATTTAACTGATTCTCTCACACTCACTCTAATTATATTGAGAGAGGAGGGGAAGTGAGAGAGTTGAATCTTAATAAACTCCAATATTTATACTAACAATGAAAACTTAAAAATATTCGTACCTTTTTTGACGCAAGATATTCCATGCCTCTGGCTACGCAATAACCAAAAACCGTGAGATCCCTGGATGTCAAGGCTGCTGAATCCTCGCTGAAGTTGTAAAAGTACTGCCTGGTACGGTGATCACGCAGGTACGCAAGCAGTTTGCCGTACATGACGTACTCCAGTATGAGATAATGAGGCTCTGCAATCAGAGAAAATCATGCATTAAATCCTTTATGTTCATTCATGGAAGAGCGCATTGGAGCATGTCGCTCCTGCGTTTCGAATAAGGGGATCTCAATCAGCGAAGGATAACTCTTATTCATCAACTCTTACTCACGATTCAAATGAGTAATGCCATTTTCAAGAGACGAAACGAATGTATAGTATCACAAGGTACACCGTGTGTATTGAATTTACTTCAATAATGATTTACCATTCGTGTGGCACACTTTACCGCGGTTCAATAAATCGAAAACATCGTCATGTGAAACGCAGCATTTTTCTCGACCTCCGTCACGCTTTCGTAAGATTGATCGAATTTTTTCCGATTGCATCAATCGATTGCATTATAGTCGAAACAAATATAAATGTGTAATCGATGCGTTTGAATTGCGAACTTATACATGGAACTCTTCGTATCATAAAAATATAACTTTATTCAAACAATAATTCATTTAAATATTAGCATATTTCAACATTAAATAGAATAAATTAAGTACAATATGTATAATAATTAGGTATCATTATCGATGTTAAACATTATGACATCGCTTATTTGCTACGACAACGACATAACTCAAAAGTTATTATTTTGGAGTTATAATATTTATAGAAAAAAGGAACAGAAATATATAAAGAAAAACAGAAAGAACATACTTTCATTTTTCAGTTATTACATTGAAATTATATTTGAAAATTAACATTACAAATTTTAATGATTCAAAACATTAAAGCTCATTTTCTGAAAAACTATTTTTTTTTTAATTGTGTCATTATTGTAGCAAATGAGCGGCATATAATTGAAAAGGAACATTTGAATATTTAATTATTGCTTTAATAAAATTATATTTTAAGTAGAATTTACTTAATTATATTATATTTATTTATTTGCTACGCTTTTATCGTCACGACAATAGATAAAAAGGTGTACAGGCGATTAGAGGAACACATGGTGAGAATGTTGGAGAAATATTTCACGTTCGAAATAATTTAAGAGACACGCTCTTGGGAGAGTCTCGCTTAGGTAGTACCCGCTTGATTGTAACTTATGGAGCCACTTTTGTCGGCATGTCGAATCGTAATTCTCATATTAGACCGATATTACGATCCTCCCTAATAATTCTTGTTCGCCAAGTAGCATATGTTAGGCGTGTGCTGCTCCGAATTAATCGCGTTAGTATGTTTTTCAAACTGGATTAAACGTAATACTTACAATGCTTGTTTCGATCGTATTAAGTCGCGCGTTATTAACGTGCATTAGCAATTCAATACCGTAACACTGTACTGAATAAGTTGTATCACAATTACCATACTACTATGCTTATATACGAACATTAATGTATCAGTATATTAAGCTTTATTAAATCCGACAGAAATGATCAATTAATAGAAAAATATAAATAAAAAGATCGCTACTAAATTTGCAATTACTTATTAATTTGGTAAAAAAAAAAAAAGATTATTTTATACATAAAATCACTCTTGAAAATTAACAAGTCCTGAAGATTTTCTTACTACAATTACCTTAATTGACGCAACCATATAAATTAAAAATTTGGTTCCAGATATTTATGTATATTATAATTTAAATGTTATAAAGAATTACAGTTAAAAATACTGAATTAACGATCGCTACATACAAAGGATTTCTCTTCAAAAGCAATGCTTATTCTCTCGTTGGCACATGATATATTCAGCCTCCATTGTCAAACATATGCGTGTTGAATTCGTTGAACTCTACGTTGCAAAAATTACGGATCCGCGCCTATGTCGATCGATATGGCACGCGTACGATACAATAGGCGTGACGAATGTGAAGCAATACGAGTGCGCAGTACGTGGGCTGTGATATCGTTCACGTTTCATTTTCACGTATATCATATTTTGCGCATGCAAGATTGATAGAAACGCGTTCGAGGAAACGATGAAACGACGACACGCAGCAAGAATAAAATAGGCGTTAAACTTATTAGGTGTTAAACTTAATTCCTGCCGTTTTTCGTCTCCAAAATTGATTTGTTTCGAAGGGAAATACCTTAATCAAAGTATTATTAATAAAGTATTATTAATTAGTAATAAAGTAGAAAATGGAGGAAATTACTTTCATTAAGGTATTCATTCATTTTCCCTTCGAAACAAATCAATTTTGGAGATGAAAAACGGCAGAAACTAAGTTTAACACCTAATATATTCGGTCGACATGTTATAGAACAAGTTCCTCTTGAATCTCCTGTTAATTTTACGTGTATCGTATATGCAAATTATTCGGAGATAGTTGATTGTAAACAAAATTATAAACGCAATGACATTGAGACTTTGACGCAAATCAATGGGTTTTAAACCGCAAAGTATAATGGCGTGCAATTAATTCTATTGAATTTTGGGACAATTTGTTTCCGAAATAAGAATGACGCAAAATATCAGGAACTCATTTAATGACACGGCAAGTTTCGTAAAGCCTAAACCTAAGTATGCTATCAGTCTCTTAAATTTCCAAGATATTATCTTCATGAAGAATTCGTGCCAAAAAAGAAGAGACTACGTTTCCAAGTTTGCAGATTTTAAAGAATGCTGCTTCTTAATGCCGCTCCTATTTCATACACGTCGTCGTGAAAGCAAATAAGCCGCCGAAACTCGATTAGGGACAGAAAGAAAAAGCGGACAATGGCTAAATAAGAGAGGCACATCATTTTTATCGGATACAAAGCATTTTTTTGGACCTTGAAAAAATCGTTTCGCGATAAAAAAAATTCAACGTAATTATGATGTCTTCATCAAGCATTAATGCATAAATTCAATGCGCGTGAAGTGTTAGAAATATTAATTTATTTGTAATATAAATAAAATGCCTATAGAGCTTCTGGGTTATTAGTGCATAAATTAAATTAATGAATTCATAAGTCAATAAGAGATATAATTCGCAATATACTTATCGAATTAAAACCTGCAGTTAACTTCGTTTGATAAGTATACAGGGTGTCTCGAAAGTTTTTGCCACTCGCTTTTTAGATAGAGCGGACTAAACCGAGTCGAAAAGGCGGCGAGTCTCCATGTCATGACTTGACCGGCGCGCCTGCCGAGCCATCAATGGGCGTACGCTTTGACATTAGTTTGGTATTAGGTCGAACGGACGCGCTTATTCGGCTATCTTTAATGATCAGTATTATCGTTAACTATTGCGAGCATTACAAAATGGTAGAGGACTTTTCGACTCAGTTCAGTCGCTCTATCTACACAAAAGCGATTAGTAAAAACTTTCGGGACACCCTGTATACATTCCAATTGTTTGCGAATTATATCTTATCGCTTTATGACTACATAATTTACGCACAACCTCGGAGACTTGTGTAAGCTATAGCCTATTTTACTTGTATTTTACTTTTTTTTTGTATTGAATTTATTTTTAAAGCCACAAAAAATATTAATCTAATTTATTTTAATTTAATTTGTTTTTCTCTGAGATTGACAAATTTCTTTCCTAAAACGTTAGAAATATGAGAATTTACCGAATCTTTAATGTCTACCATCCAGTTCTCCAGTTGTTAATAATTTTCTTGGCGGTCGAAGCACGACTGTTCAACATGAGACGTTTATTTTCGTCTGAACGGCGATCGTAAAACGGTTAAAAGACTTTCCTTTGACGAACGTCGCCGGAAAGAAATTCGGACGTGGCCGCAGACGACGATAAACGCGATGGGGCCGAAATTTAAAAGTCGTAAATTTTATGCGGTGGTCTCGAGTTTTTGAACCGTTAGGAACTTTCCACGTTCACCATTGTGGGAAGGTTAGAGCTGTGAAGGGAACCCTTTAAGGCCCACTCCCTAAATGCATCAGCTACGCCCAAAATGCTGGTACACCTCTAAGGGATTTGCCGCAGCAATCATCTCGGCCTTTACTGCGCCCACGATGAGCATCTTATCGTTATGATTGTTGGCCTACCGAACGAATATCTGTCCTTCCCGAGTTTATTTTCTTCGCGAACGATCTTTTTCGACAATTAAATATTGATTAGCTCTATTATGTTCGCTGTTCATGAGAACAGGAAATATTAAAACGATTGATAATATTTCTAACACGATAATGAATATAATAAAAACTTAACGCCAAATTTTATTGATGAGTTTTATTTCTATTAAAGAAGGATTTCTCTAAAAACAATTCATGTATCAAAAAATGTATTAAAAAAATTATACAGAAGTTTTGTTAAAATACGATTATTATAACTAACTTGACTTTTTAAACAATATTAAATGAAATAAAAATTAAATAGAGACTGACTTTTAAATAATTTATTTTAATTAATTGATAGAAAAACAACATAACTTTAATTAAAGCGAATGATAACGTTATCGAACTGTTGCACTTAAATGAGTTGATCATCCATCCGTCCGATTGTATCGTCGCTCGTTTTTTCATTTAGCCTCTTTTGATTCGCGAATTGAGCGGCCTTATCGCGAGGATACCCACTTAATAAACACATTGTACAACAACGAGGCACTTCGCGGGGATGCGTATGGAAATTTATACGAACGATGAGAATGACGATATCGAACAACGCATGGAAGAGGAGAAAGACATAATGGTCTCTGACTCCCCGATTTATCTCGATGCGTACAAAATTGCTCGAGAACCTTTTTTATATCTCTATCTTCAAATTTGCCTCCTGCAAAAAAATACAAAACTCAACAAATTAATATTTTATTTGTGACAATATATGTCTTTTTTGTCCGTCAATATATATTTTCCAATTTAAAAAAAAAATAATACATACACAGTGTTGTTTATAAAATTTCAAAAATTATTATATTTAAGTTAAAATTTTACCTGCAGATATATTGTAATACTATACTATATATCTGCAGGTAATATTATACTGAGAGAAATATTTATACATAATAAAAATAATTATGGTTAAAAATAGAAGCTCTATTTTTAAAGTTATTATTCGCTATAATATTAATAATAATTATACATTAATGATTCTCCCAAATGTATATAGTTTGCACCGAAAATAACTATAAATTATAGTTAGAATATAATAATTGTAACCATTTTCTCTCAGTAAATGATACATATGTATATATCTTTTTTCATGAAAGTTATTCTTTATATTAAGAGAAATATAGATTTGAACGTAAATATGGAATAAAATTTTTAATACTATTCGCGCGAAAGTTTATTTCCTACATCCAAATTCTCCGATAAAGAATTTTAAATACATTTCTTATGTATATTTTATATAGAAAATGATTAAAGTTCTGGAAAGGCATATTTAATTTTTTCTCTGGCATAAAAAGTAATTTTTTCATGATAAAGATCGTTCTTCAAAAGAACAATCTATTAGAGTATTTATCTGCAAGAAAATTATTTACCAATTGGATACGCATACACTTTCGATAATGAAGCCCCGGCGCCTTCGATTACTCGATTCGATATTGTGGAAGCAGGATGCTGCGATTTTTAATCAATTATATGATGAAATAACCAAGGAATTATACGTCGATTACACTTTTGTTTGCAAATAGATGCAATCACTGATGCTTTTACGCAAACTTATGCATGAAGGAATAACAATTGCGTCGTATCAAGTGGTAAATTTATTTTGATTGAAAAAATATTAATAATTTATTTCCGTCCGTAAAATCAGATTTCGAGACAAATAATTTTGATTTAACATCGTGGAGAAACAACATTGGTTAAAAATAACATAACAAATACATTGTTTACAATAGTATTTAATTTGTAGTTTTCAAGTTTGTGAATGTTAACTGTAATTACCTATTAAAGCACAATAACGACGCAAATGAAACGGATAAAATCTTTTTCAAAACAAAGTAATTCTTATAGAATTATCATAACGACAGTTTAATTTATTTAGGCAAACACAATCGCAGAAAGACAAACATTTTTATACTGACCATTTAATCGAATTTTCGCGTAACTGCGTCTTATTGTGCAATCATTTAAGACATATAAATGAGTCATTCAACAACAGTAAAACATGCAAAACGCATTTCGCATATTTTGATTTCCGATGTAAATATGCGATTTAAAGAAGCGATAAAATTTTTTCGTGGCATTTGTAGTTTTGGCACATTTAAACGGTTTAAGATATTGGTAAAGTAAATTAAGTCACGACGAGATCACGCGCGACAGAGGTTTATTGTTTTATTATATTTAATTATAATATTTATTAACCCCATGTGGAACCTTCACGGCAATTTTATTAGTTTGAATAATGAGAATAGGTTGCTAACTCGCAGCTTGTCTGCGAATTTCGATTAAATTGCAAGGACGACTAGTGCATCGCGAACGCATCGCGGTGGAGGCGGTGGCAGCGACCTGATTGGAGGAGTCGTAATCCAGACGCGGTTCTATCTGTGTATCCCTCTCTTCGGCGGGGGACGTGATTACTTAATTACTATATACCGGCGATCCGTGCATTTTTTCTGCGTCGAAGTGCCGGCAGTTAAAACGGTTTTTATAAAGTTTACGCTGCCAAGGCCCGTACGCGAGCGGCGACATGCAAGGTCGTAGTTAAGTGACGGTAATGAGGAAGATTCACCGAGTACAGTTGCGGCGTGCAGCTGCAGGTGTAGCGCCGATTGCGCGCCGATGCAAATCGAAATAGGGACCGCGTAAGGATGCATTTTCGCGAGAAATTGCGCGATGCGTGTCGCACCGTCGGTACGTGTTGATGCCATATGGTGTATTTCTCCTCTCAGTTGATTATAGTGTACGATCAGATGCACCACGTATGCAACGTATGCAGGAATGATTCAAGATGAAAGTAATTTTACGTTAATTGAAAAAAGATTATACTACGTTCGGTTAGATGTAGCACGAGCAATTACGTTTGAGAAGTGCAGGCTATTAAATTAATATTATTCATCCTAAGGTTTATTTTTGATTGAAATTGTAAAATTCATTCAAACACACATGCTATTAAGCACTAACATCTTTTTTTATCAAATATGGTTTTTTTTTCACTTCTGTGTGTTTATTTATTAATTTTTACAATTTTTATTCTATTTTTGATTGAACTGTAAACATTAATTAAGATCTAATTAAACGTATAATCAGTAACTAAAAAATTATTCGCGCATATAATATCTTTACTTTAAAAAATATTAATCTTTTAATACTAATTCATAAAATTTTCAATCTATTATATAGGGTGTATCTACATATAATAATAAAATATAAATGCTGAATGGGTTTTTTAACATTCTGTATAACTTCAATCTTTTATAGCTATGCTAAGTTCTGCATCACGTATTTATTGAAAAAATATCAAACAGATTAATATTATATACAACTTACCTTCTTCGGTGCAGCATCCTAAAAGTGTTACGACGTTTGGATGACTGCCTAATTGCTTCATGATTTCGAGTTCTCGATCTAAGTCTTCCTTCTCTCGATCAGAAGCGCCTTCTTTAACGGTTTTCACTGCTACTAATCGAGTCGTGCCTTGATGACCTGTCAAATCGTCGGCTTCGGCCTTCCACACCTGATATTGCAATTCAATCATATTTCAAATGTTTATTAATTGTAAGTTTTAAAAAGATTTTGTTCCTCTTTAAGATTTGCAATTAATTTATTCTTGCATTTTTTAAAATGCATTCCATCTAAATAATGCCAATTATTGATAACCATAATTTACGATTGCGGATTTTAATTTTTTTCCTGTTCGTTTTATGTTATTAGAGATGTCTATTGTCACTATTTTGGAAATTTATAATCACAATGGGAAAACAATTATACCAATCGCTGTGCCATCTTTTAATTAATAGAAAAAAAATTCCATGACAATAGATTACACATTCCCCAAGTTTTCTCACAATTTTACATAATCAATTCGGATGTATTACGCTAACTATCCATTATCGTATCTCATAAATAAGTACGACGTTCAAATCGCACACGTCGAAAGCTGTTATTACTATCGAAATCAACGTCGATAGAATTGCGCAAGTAAAAGAATAGATAAAATCGCTGAGGAAATATCGGAAGAAGGAACTGCTGAACTTGGCCGCGAAGATTACGTTTCCGCATGGACTTCAGGTATTTCGTTAAAATCTTTCCGACAGCCGCAAATTACAGGCTGCCTTTTTTATAGGGATGCCGCAAGAAGTATCTTCTCACCTGGCCGAAGTTTCCTTGCCCGAGGACTGTCTGTAATCTAAGCTTATCTCTAGGAAACTCCCATCTGGATTCTTGAGATGGCGGAGGCGGCGGTTTCTCAGCTTCGTGACACTGCACGGAGAGATAAAGATTAAACTGCAGTTAAGAATTGCCCAAAAAATAGCTGCTAATTGACATGCATGGGAGTGAATGTTCGATACGTCGCATCGTTTGGAATTAATCTATCTCGCATCTATTGCTGACGTAAATTTCTTTCATGTTAAAAAAATGAACTTCCGGGATTTTCCATTGACGTGTCTTTATGCATAATGCGATTTTCCCATACGCGAAACGCGTGACGAAATCAATATATTATTATGTATCGTATGCAATAACTCGCTCTGAATATTTATGCAAATAATTTCCTCAAATAAAAAACGAAGAGACAGCTATTAATTAAATTATATTAGTAAAATTGATTTTATTCATAAAATACAATTATTTATCAAATTAATTTGATTTATAAATAAAATTATTTTTATTAATGTAATTTAACAGCTGTTTCCATTCTTTTTATCTGAAACAAATAATTTATAAAATGTAAATAAGATTATTTTTGATATCACGATACACGTAAATTATTTATACACCCAAATATCTTTTTGCGTGGTCACTAAATTAAATAAAGTACAATTCAATTGAAAAAATTCACAACATGTGACGAACGCGTCGAAAAGCTGTGCAAACAATTCCTACGTGACTGCTGTCGCATTAAATATCTGAGAGTGTTCGTTAATTTCTCACCAAGTGCTGTATCCTCGGTAGTTTCGTGATCGCCTTCTCGATGGACGTCTTGAAGTCGCCGTTTTCGAGATTAAGAGCGTCCTTCCTGCAGCTTATCTCCGATGACGTGTCCGACTCCTCGAGCACCTGCATAAGCAAATCAACGTCAGCGCAACGTGTATGCAACATGCCGCTCGCACGCGCATCGGCGAGCCACTTGAATCGGTCGTCACTCCCGTTTAATTGGGAGACGCAATGCCGCGTGGCAATGAAGATCAGCGAGATAAATTGAGGTGTCCTGTGAGTATTTTTCCGCGAATAATATTGCCGGAATAAAGTTAGACGAACATATTGCGATTCCACGCAAATAATACAACGTCGGTTTTTTACAAAGGCGATAAGATGCATGCAAATAATGCAAAAATGATGACCAATTACATCTTCGTAGTTTTCAAGGATAAAATTAACTAAATTGCACTGGAGTATTTTTAATATCTGAGAATAGTAATAAAGAGATTCGAATAATTTGCTTCCCGCAGAGCACAAACTAACAGTACATCAATGTTGTAATTTTCCACTCAATAATATAAATGTAATGTAACACATTATATATGGTAGTTGTTAAGTAGAAAATTACAATGTTAAGTAATGTTACTGTTACTTTGTATTCTGCGAATTATGAAGAGTTTTTTTCTATACCAAGTACCAATCATATTTGGTTATAATTATGCAACGTATTATCATGCACAGGTTATTTTAAAGAAGAGCATCTATATAGAGTCGCTTATGTCATGCGAGAATCATCAGGAAAACGGATCGGTTTGCCTGTCGACGGTGAAATTTCAATCTCGAAGAACACAGCACACCCGAGTTTAGCATCGAGCTCATCTAAACTAACTTGGCAAGCCCGAAAACGATCCCGCTTATTTATATGTACTCATCCTTTCTCCCTTCTCCCTTCATTTGCGTGCTCCTTTTTTTACCGTCCACGCAAACCTTTGTACCGCCATTCAGATTTATTTCCATGACTGTCGGGTTAAATTTAAATTTATGCTCCCGTTATTATTTATGAACGTCTCGCGGGCGTGAAAGCATTTCGCTTATGTCATTTCCGGAAATTTTGTGGTCTGCGCCATTAATTCCGCTATCATTTCTGACGCCAAAAAGATTGTTGACACTTATTCGCAAGAAATGGAATTTCCGCAATTAAGAACTATAATAGAAAATGTGGTTCTCATCAAGACAAGAAACGGAATTTCCTCAATTAAAAACTGCAATATAGATTAGAAATGTAGTTCACTAAGGAACGTTATAAAGAGTAAACATTAAAGTATAAATTCACGAGATATCTAATTGTAGAAGTACATTATTGATGTAATTATTAATAATTACACAAATGTAATATCCTTATTTTCAGACTATGTCGATGAGGCTCGCATGAGAAGATATTCGACCTTCGACGCAACCTTCTTGTTGACTATCCGAGGAAAATTCCACGGAAAAAGAATCATCATAGATAATGAGCCGAACAATTTTCGCATTATCCAACGTTCGCGTCCATCTTCTCATTTACTAACGCGCCACGCTTCGTCTGATGATACTGTGCTCGAATCATCCCGAGATTATTCTGCATACAATGAACTTGTAGTAATTGCTGGAGGGGGGGAGGGAGAAGGGATAGTTAACCATTTCATGAATCACCGCAAAGCTAGCCTTCGCGAAAGAATTATTCGATGACCGCGTTTGATATTCATTCACGACGAAGTCACAGCCGTGGCAAAATAATTGTGTTTGAAATTCAAGTAATTGATAAAATATAAAAAAAATTTTTTTACTCATTTTTTAGCTTCCAACATAATTATTTTGATAATTCAACAGTATTATTTTCAGCTCCAATAAAATGTTAGATCTTATAGTTAAATCGTTTCTTTCGTAAATGTATATTAATATTCATTCTTATTATATGAGTTATGTTACTCTGATTCCTTAAAACTAATTGTGTCTTTTAATTAACATAAATTAAATGTGTGTCTCACAGACTTAGTCAGTAAGACATAGTAACTGCGTTACAGATTTTGACATCAGCTTCAGAGGGATCTTTAAAACCTGTTTTAATTAGAATAGCTGTTCAGGACGATACTTTCTAATAATTCGATATGCGTTAATTATCAAAATATTTTGCACGATTTCGCTACGATATAACGAACGTCGCTAGCCAAATAGCCGTACGATAAACGTTAATTCACGATGATAATCCTGGTCATGCAGCGTAACGGTACGTAAGTGGCACTGTCGTATGAACAGCAATTTGTACCTCAGCATCCCGTCGTGCATCAATTAAAAATAGAGTTACACGTGACGCTTTTTCATCGCTCTCCCACCGCCTCTTCCGCAGATACGATAATCTTGATTGCGACCACACTCGAGAGAGAGTAGATCTGATCTCCAATTAAATCATAATGTTCTATAAGTTATATCAGAATGAAATATTATGTTACTTGCCTAAATAAGCAATCTTGTTCATTTCATCAAAACATTTAAATTTCGATCGGTCTGAATTTTTGTTTCCAATTTTTCCTACTTTTTTCATTGAAAATTTTGAAAACAATTATCTATGTGACATTTTTTATGTTTAATAATATTTAAATTTATATTATATTAAATACAACAGAGAACTGTAAACTGAAGAATTGAGAGTGTACGAAAATTATTTGAGTTTAAATAAATATTAAGATATTTAAAATTTCAGAAACATAGTTTGCTTGTAAAAAATCTTCAGTTGCAATCAAAATAATTAATAGAATTGAGAAGATTTCACGCATGTTTGGTAATTAAACATTTAATTCGATAATAAACTTTGGATTAATCTAAATTTTTTCTTCGCAAATTTTGGAAACAATTATCCATCTTTTAATGTTCAACAATGCTTAAATTTATTAAATACAATAGAACTACAAAAGAATTGAACTGAAGAATTGAAATTACATGAAGATTATTTGAGTTTAAATAAATATAAGATATCTAATTTCAAAAACATAGTTTTTACATTAGATTATTTGTAAAAATGTCTTGATTTGAAATCAATAAAAAAATTGTTGAAAAGGTTTCATACATTTGGCAATTATAAAAATTACGTATTACTATTCTCAGTACTTTTCTATTAAAATATCATATTTAATAAAAATCCAGTGTGTATCCGCAAAGCTTTCCTAAGTATCCCTCTCACAATCACATGTTTTCGATATTTATAAACGGATTCAAATCGTGTTTACCAGTTCTCCGATCACAATGCGAGACTTCATCTCGAGAAAGAGAAAGACGAAATATCACGAATCGATCTAGAGCGTGGCGATTCGCGCATACTTTCTAATCCCGATCTAAGCTAAATCGATCGCAACGCTGGCACGCTAAGTGACCTCGAAACCTCGAACTCGCTCACCTTACGATTCCTAAGTATCAGTCTTCTGAGAATGAGCCCGACGCCGACGGCGATGGGAAAGACGACGAGAGTAGCCAGGATGTAGCCAACCACAGCAACCGTCTCCTGAGTGGCGATCACGTCGCCGTCGTGCCGCTTCAATATCACCTCACTGATGTTCAACGATTCCCGCGGGCTCACCGAGATCGGTTCGCCGGTCTCGAAGAACGTCCTGTTGAGCCCGCCGGGATGATACATCGTGCCGTTGTATTCCGGCAGGATCGAATGATGATAGGCAGGCCTGTACCTCGTCCTGTTGGTCGTGGTTACGAAAGAGGAACCTTTGGACCCTGGAGGAACAGCAGAATCCTGGGACTCGCGATTCTCCTCGTGTTTGTCCTTTCGGAAGTTTGTTGAAACGGTAGGTTCCTTAGACTTTGGAACGGGAACGGTGGTCGATGTACTTCCACTAATTTCCGTCGCGTTATCGACTGTCGTCGCCAACTCGAGATTCTTCTCCGTTGTCGTCGTCGACGTTGTCATCGTCGTCATCGTTCCCATGATCATCGTCGTCAATGCGGGATCGTTCTGTGGCTCGGAATCCACCGGAAGCACCACCCGTTCCGTATCGCGAGCGAACCCGTCCATCGACCCGCTGCTGTTGAAGATATCCGACGTGTTATACAGATGCATGATCGGTAGCACGTCGTCCTTGTCTTTTGACTTGTCTGATAAATTACGCGCCCTGACTTCCGGCGATCTCTCGCCAGACACGCGTTTCCCATTCTCCGTTACCGTGGGCGGCGACGAGGTAGGCAGGACCTTCGACCTTCTGCTCGAAGTTTCGTTTACATGGACGTCATTCTGAATTGGCGAAATCGTTGTCGTCGTCGTTGTTGATGTCGTCGTCGCATCTTTTGCTCGGTACCTCTTCTGGATCTCAGAAGGGTCCAGATTGTTTTCCTTCGCGACGTCCGTCGGTCTGAAGGTGTTGTTAGTCTCCGGATCGGTAGTGGTTCTCTCCAATTCCGACAGTATTCTAGGCGTGACCGGGAAAACCGGAGCGGCCGGCACTGTCGACATTGTCGTCGTTGTCGTTGTTGTCGTCGTCGTCGTAATCGCGACAGCTTCATCCACTTGCTCGATCACTGTCACGGTCGTCTCGCCGATCCCGTCTATCGTTACGTTCACGTTGCTCTCGGTCTTGTTCAGCATCGCGATACCCTGATCGTCTTTCTGATCGTTGCTCCTGATATCGCTTTCATTTAAACTTGACTTGGCAATAACGATATCTTCCTCAAGAACGTGAGACTTTTCCAGCTCCGTCGTCGTGATCGCATCGACGAGAACAGACGGATCGGTCGCGTCTAACATCTCGTCGGCTGCACTCGAATTTCGATTTAAGATCCCCATGACGGTGGTTTCTTGAGAACTATTGTCACCCGGCACTTCGTTCACCCCGCTGGCACGCGTAACTTCCCGAAGAGAATCAACACCTGGCACTTCATCGTCCGAAATTTTTCCGCGATTCGCAACCCGTGTCCCATTCGACGATCGATCGTTCACCACTAACTTATCCGTAGCACTATCGATCTTCTCCTCACCGGACTTCAGTCTCCTGGTACCGTTCAAAGGAGACACCCCGCTCGAAGAGGCCAACACTCTGCGACGCTTGCTTGTCACCAGAGTCGAAGATTCTTCGCTTACAGTTGATCTTTGATTTAGCACTGCGCTAGCGCTCTTCCTTAAGAATCTCCGATCATTAGCACCCTCCTGCTCGCTGGTTCGCGACTTAGTGTGGTTCCACCTAACCGTGCCTCTGTTTGCAATCTCCGGCGACTTGGTGGATCTGGACGTCGACGAGACAACGCTATCGTTATTCGCGGCTGAATGCACCGAGGGCCAGGTAACTGCCGCTCGCTGGCCGGCTGCGCCTCGTTGTTGTTGCGGAACAGTTTTGCTCGATCGTTCCCCCACCAGACTGTCAACTACACCGGGCAACGCACCAGCAGCTGCGGCTGGCTCGACGGTCGCGCCAGCACTGAGTCCCGTCGGCGTTCGTGCCGGTTCTATACCGCCATCACCGGCACGAGGAAGCAGAAGAGGAGAAGACGGCGG